ACATCAACCCTCAGTTTGTTCTCAGTTTTTAAGAGTCTCTTATGCTTTGGCTCTCTCCCACTCTAACCTCTTTTTTTTTTTTTTCCTTCCCCTCCCCCATGGGTTTCTGTTCAGTTTCTCAGAATCCACATATGAGTGAAAACATATGGTATCTGTCTTTCTCTGTATGGCTTATTTCACTTAGCATAACACTCTCCAGTTCCATCCACGTTGCTACAAAGGGCATATTTTGTTCTTTCTCATTGCCATGTAGTACTCCATTGTGTATATAAACCACAATTTCTTTATCCATTCATCAGTTGATAGACATTTAGGCTCTTTCCACAATTTGGCTATTGTTGAGAGTGCTGCTATAAACATTGGGGTACAAGTGCCCCTATGCATCAGTATTCTGTATCCCTTGGGTAAATTCCTAGCAGTGCTATTGCTGGGTCATAGGGTAGGTCTATTGTTAATTTTTTGAGGAACCTCCACACTGTTTTCCAGAGTGGCTGCACCAGTTTGCATTCCCACCAACAGTGCAAGAGGGTTCCCGTTTCTCCACATCCTCTCCAGCATCTATAGTCTCCTGATTTGTTCATTTTGGCCACTCTGACTGGCGTGAGGTCATATCTGAGTGTGGTTTTGATTTGTATTTCCCTGATGAGGAGCGACATTGAGCATCTTTTCATGTGCCTGTTGGCCATCCGGATGTCTTCTTTAGAGAAGTGTCTATTCATGTTTTCTGCCCATTTCTTCACTGGGTTATTTGTTTTTCGGGTGTGGAGTTTGGTGAGCTCTTTATAGATTTTGGATACTAGCCCTTTGTCCGATATGTCATTTGCAAATATCTTTTTCCATTCCACTGGTTGCCTTTTAGTTTTGTTGGTTGTTTCCTTTGCTGTGCAGAAGCTTTTTATCTTCATAAGGTCCCAGTAATTCATTTTTGCTTTTAATTCCCTTGCCTTTGGGGATGTGTCGAGTAAGAGATTGCTACGGCTGAGGTCAGAGAGGTCTTTTCCTGCTTTCTCCTCTAGGGTTTTGATGGTTTCCTGTCTCACATTCAGGTCCTTTATCCATTTTGAGTTTATTTTTGTGAATGGTGTGAGAAAGTGGTCTAGTTTCAACCTTCTGCATGTTGCTGTCCAGTTCTCCCAGCACCATTTGTTAAAGAGACTGTCTTTTTTCCATTGGATGTTCTTTCCTGCTTTGTCAAAGATGAGTTGGCCATACGTTTGTGGGTCTAGTTCTGGGGTTTCTATTCTATTCCATTGGTCTATGTGTCTGTTTTTGTGCCAATACCATGCTGTCTTGATGATGACAGCTTTGTAGTAGAGGCTAAAGTCTGGGATTGTGATGCCTCCTGCTTTGGTCTTCTTCCACCTTTTTTTTCAATGTAACTTTCTAATTCCCAAAAACATCCTTCTTCTCCCCTCAAACCCCTCTATTCACTTCCTGTATATACTATCTGATCTTAAATCTTTTTTCTAAGCAATAATGATTCCATTGACCCTGAAAGCCCTTCCTACTTCCTTTTCTTCCTAGAAAGAAATCACCCTTTAAGAAGTACAAAATCTCCTTTTCTGAGAGAATTTCTTATATCTTCTCAAGACATAGACTGTCCCTTTTTCTGTGGCTCTAGGGGACGGTGGGGATAACAGGCAAAGTCAGGATCCCTGAATATCGACATGGAGTGCATATCTCTGCCAAAAGAATGGATACTTTTTGAAGTTTTTATTGATGGGGTGCCTGGGTGGATCAGTTAATAAGCTTCTGACTCTTGGTTTCTGCTCAGATCATGATCTTACAGTTGTTGAGTTCGAGCCCCATGTTGGGGCTATCAGTACAGAGCCTGCTTGGGATTCTCTCTCCCTCTTTCTCTGCCCCTTCCCCACTCACACTTGCTCATTCTCTCAAAAGAACTAAATAAACTTTTAAAAAACACAAATATTTGAAGTTTTTATGGAGGTATAATTTACATGTAACAGTTTCAGGTGTATAGTGATTAAATATTTGTATATACTGTGAAGTGACTACTACAATAAGTCTAGTTAACATCTGTTACCACATAGAGTTACAATTTTTCTTTTGATGTGGACTTTAAAGATGTACTGTTAGCAACTTCCCAATATGCAATACAGTATTATTAACTATATAGTACATGCTGTAAATTACATCCCAGTGACTTAAAGGTTTTCTAACTAAAAATATGTACCCTTTTAACCCCCTTCACCCACTGACAACCACCAATCTGTTCTGTGAAAGGTGAAGTTTTTTGTTTTTTAAGAATACCACATATAAGCAAAATCATATGGTATTTGTCTTTGACTTATTTCACTTAGGATAATGCTCACAAGGTCCATCTACACTGTCCAAAGGGCAAAATGTCATTCTTTCTTGTGGGTGAATAATATTCTGCTGTATATACATATCACATTTTTCATCCATTCATTCATTGATGGACACCTAGGTTGCTTCCTTATCTTCATTATTGTAAATAATGCTATAATGAGTATGAAGGCGTGTATTATCTTTGAATTCGTGTTTTTGTTTTCTTTAAACACTCAGAATTGCTGAATCATACGGTAGTTCTATTTTTTAATTCTGCACAAAGAGCAATGGAGCTGCCCTACGCATGTAGTTCTATTATAAATATATAATGTGTGTGTGTGTGTGTGTGTGTGTGTGTGTGTGTGTGTGTGTTTTCTTTTAGAGGCAGAGAGTGCGGGAGCAGGAGAGGAGGCAGAGAAATAGAATCTTAAGCAGACACCACATCCAGCATAGAGCTAGACACAGGGCTCAGTCCCACAACCGTGGGACAGCCATTAATTGAAGAGACTCTCCTTTTCCCATTGTATATTCTTGGCTCTTTTTTCACAGATTAAAAAAAATAATAATAACCGTATGTGTGGGTTTGTTTTTGGGTTTTCTAATTTGTTCCACCAAGTTATGTACTTGTGTGTTGTTTTTATCTCCCCTGAACTACTTATGGAAACATCGAAGAAATACCGTTCTGTTTACTACAAATAAAACAGCCTAGTACAATGATAATGACCTTCTCTGCCCATTAAAAACAATGGAAACAGTTGGGAATGGAAAGAGAATTGGAAAAGCATCCTTGATCTCATGAAGAAGGAACTATGACTTTATCTCCAGGTTGCATTGCCAAGGGAAATTACCCAGGTTCCATGTAACCAGTGTCATAAGAATCCTTTTTTTTTCTTTTTTCTTGTCCAGAGAAGCCAGATATCAAGATTTTTATGTAAAATTTCCCACTAGATGTTAGCAACCATTTCCAATTCTGTATTAAACACACTGTATCGGACAGTATTTTGCAGTTCAACAATATAAACCATTTTTGAAGGCAGTGAAAGGCAAGCTACATGGGGCACGGATTTTTGCCTGGTACAACAATTATGCTCAATCAAGACCTATTTGTTGAATGATAAATAAAAGACAAAGTTATTGTAGACCATGGATTTTCACTTTATGACAGAGTAAATGACAAACTGACTATAATATAATCTTTAGGATTACAAACCAAACTTCAAGTTAAGCCTTAAAGAGTCAAGTTTAAGTTTAACTTAAAGTTAAGCCCCTGCCAGCATGGGACAGCATAAAAGGCATTCCATCTGGGTTGTTCCTTAGGGAAAGCCACCCCACAACCCTCTGTCATCTCTCCACCAAAGTCTTTATAAGTTTGATGTCTAAAATGTACCCTTATAATCCATTTTTACCTTTTCATAAGAAACTTCATCAAACATTTCCCGAATCTGAGCAGGATTCTCTACAGCTGTCGACACAGGGTGTGAAGAATTTAATGCGTCTGCCTCCATCACATCAAAACACTTGCCAAAGAAATAATCTTCCTATTGAGACAAAGACTTGATTTATTTTTAGATAAAAAATATCAAAGGACAAATGTTTTATCTGGGCTAGATAGAAGTGCAGTTTTCTAAAGAGCATCCTAGAAACAATTTTAGGTGAACATTTTAGATTTTGTTCATCTTAAATGCCTATCACTTTAGAAGACAATTTTCTCTTAACTTAAAAATAGAACTATCATTCCTATAGTCAAACAGTGCCAAAACAACAAACTAAAATGTGTAGTGATTCCAACATCTCCAATCATCTTATTTTAAGGCAAAGAAATTTAAATTTTTTAATGTTTATTTATTTTTGACAGAGAGAGACACAGAGCATGAGCAGGGGAGAGGCAGAGAGAGAGGGAGACACAGAATCCGAAGCAGGCTCCAGGCTCTGAGCTGTCAGCACAAAGCCTGACACGGGGCTCAAACTCACAGACCGTGAGATCATGACCTGAGCAGAAGTTGGATGCTCAACCAACTAAGCCACCCAGGGACCCCATAGAAATTTAAATTTAAAACTATATGGTCAAAAAAAAAAAATGGAGGACAAATTCCAAATATAATCTAATTTCTTAGGGCATATTACTCAACAGAATAACATACACACATCATCATTTTTATTATTAAGGCATATGTGGAAATGGGAAAATATTTATGATCCATTGCAGTACAATAGTTATATAGACATTACAACTATAAATTATGTGTACAGGAAGATGAAAATGAGAAGTTAATATACGCCTAGGTCAAAATTAAAGTGGGGTAAAGGATTGTTTGGGGGATTTTGTTTGTTTTTAAAGTAAGTTTCTTTTTTAGCTTTACTACATGCGATTTTCACAAGTTAAACACCTGATTTTTATTTATTTTTTTTTCAATGTTTTTTATTTATTTTGGGACAGAGAGAGACAGAGCATGAACGGGGGAGGGGCAGAGAGAGAGGGAGACACAGAATCGGAAACAGGCTCCAGGCTCTGGGCCATCAGCCCAGAGCCCGACGCGGGGCTCGATCTCACGGACCGCGAGATCGTGACCTGGCTGAAGTCGGACGCTTAACCGACTGCGCCACCCAGGCGCCCCAACACCTGATTTTTAAAATAAACATGTAAAGGTTCCAAAGCATTAAGTCTGGGACTCCCGAGTGTAGGCTCATAAGTAAACAAGTGTGCAGTTACCTAAAACAAGTAGAATCGTATTTGATTTGACAAGCAGGATACTATTGAAATAAAAGCAATCTGTACATAATCCTTCAGAGAGGAACCTAATCGTTGAGGAAATGATATGCAACAGACAGGCTGTCATTACTTCTAGCTTTTTTATAATAAGGGAGGATAAGATTTAACATAATTTCCTAACAATCACATATTTGGAAATAAGCAATCCAGTTAGGAAATAAGCATTTGTGTTACCTTTCAAGTTCACTAGCATTTTAGAAACCAGATTCTTATCTAAGCTATCAGGGAGTTATTAATATTTCCATGAATTCTATAATCAAAGACCAGCAACACTGAACAAAACAGCAGTATCAACTTATTAAAAATAAGTAAATACTTCTTACGACTTTCAGTTCTGGATGAGTCACAGTGACAGACACAAACTCCATAAACTTCGCAAATCCCTCATTTAGCCAAAGATCATTCCACCATTCCATAGTCACGAGATTCCCAAACCACTAAAAGGAAAGTACTAGATTATTCATACATTTCTATGGAGACTGGATTATCTACACAGTTACAGACATAAGGCATTCAGAAGGAAAGATTTCATATGTTCAATGTCAGCATATAAGTAACATTTACAGAATTTTTTATCAAAATAAGAAGAAAAACCTTTCGACATTCATTTTAAAACATGGGACCTTATGCTTTAAAAGAAATCATTTTTCCTATTGAAAAAAAGACAAAGTAAAGATGAATCGATACACTTCATGTATCAATATGAATAGTCTTTCAAGTCCCATAAAAGCAAAATAGATGTAGTTTCACCACAATTTTTAAAAGTATCATTTATCTTGTGTACCTGGTGGGCGAGTTCATGGGACACAGTCAAAGTAATGCCAAGCTTATTTGATGCAGAAGACTTTTCAGAATCAAACAATAGAACAGATTCTCTGTATGTGGTCAGTCCCCAGTTTTCCATAGCGCCACTCTCAAAGTCAGGAATAGCAGCAAGATCTTGGAAAGGACACAAAAATGTATTAACAGTCCCTAAACTAGACATTGCCCAAACACACTAACTTTCATAATGGATGGGTGTAGGGATCAAAAAAAAAGAATTTATCACAACCTAGAAAAAGAGGCTCAGTGATTCAGGGTTGCTCTGCTATTGCATGACAAAGTCAGATTGGGGCCTCGGGCCTTCTGACTCCTCTTCCAACTTTCTGACAAGGAATTCAGGGATTGGATACTCTTAATAATAATCACCTCAATTATACACTTGACTTTGGATGCCCTCGACTCCCATACACCTAAAATCTCAAACAAATAATAGTTTTAAAAGCCCATTTAAGAAGGAAACGGCAGATTTTCCTTACACTGTGTAAATGTGTTCATTAAGAAAAATTTATTGAGCACCCTCTCTATTTCTACCAAATATGTGCAAATAATGAAAAAGATGCAGCTTCTGCCCTTTGCTGTCTGCCCACGAATACAACTGAGTTTATCTTTAAGGTCAGAAGGTAAAATTATCACCATGACATGTGCCTCAGAAATCTTATCAAGATCTGCTCCTGCTATTATTAGAAATTTACTGTATAGATTAGGGGTGAGAAGGAGCAACCTTCTCCTGCCAGAGGTCTAGACTTGAAGGGCTGCTGAGATACCATGGGAATGCCAATTACGGGCATATAATACATAGCTGAGGTCATTAAATGCCACAACTTGAAATAATCTTGCAAAATTTCTACCTTGTTTGGGTAAGGGATATGGAATGCTGAAATAATCCTCATAAAACTCTAGAAGAGTCACTGCAGCATCCAGTGCGTAATCTGCCTGATGTATCTTGTCTGGCACAGCATATATGGAAACCTGAAGAGAAAGCACAGTTACTCAAATGCCATAGTGGCTTCTCTCCACGTGGGGAATAAACTTAGGAATTCTCTGAGCTTGTACCCATGGGTTAACAAGGCATAAAGAAATAGGAAGCCACAGGATGAAAGCACCCAAGATTTGGTAACCAAGATTAGATATTCAGGGCCGAAGCGCCCCAATTTAGTACAGAATCAGAAAGCTGCTTTCATGGGAGGGAAGGTCCAGAATAGGTGAAGAGGTAAATAGGGCTGTTGCCCAGCCCTAGGTAACAGGTATATAGGGCTGCTGCCCAACCGCAACAGGCCAAAGTTGCCCAGAGGGGAGCTTATTAGCAAAGAAAGGTACCTTGATGTCCCTGAGGTAGCATGCTCTCACTCTCTTGTCCCCTATGCAAGCTAGGATAAACAGACAACAGCCCCTCATGCCTGCCATAAACAACCAGCTGCCCAGCACCAGGACTTTGCTTTGTGTTGACCAAAACCCCTAACACTGCATATCTGCAAAACCCCCTTTTCCTCACACCTGTGAGTCAATGTTCATGGTTTCACTGTCTCTTTGTGCACATCCATCACACTTTTAAGCCTTCTGATTCTAATAAAAACACAGCAAGGACCCTTACTCGGGGCTCTTGTCTCCTCCGAAACGTTAGCCTCTCTCACATTTTAATCCTGCGTCCCAATTTCTTGCTGGAGAAGAGAGAACTCCAGACCCTAAGTCTACAACAGATGGTGACCCAGGCCTGACATGGCCAGAAGGTGGTGCAACTCAAGGACTGAGGGATGCCATGGACCGACTAAAGAGCTCCAAGAAAAACACACCAGATTACAATCTCCTCCTGATGAACTAAGAGAAAAGCGAAACTGTATTAGGATTTGCTGCCGCGGAACTTTGGAGAGATTTATCATGGGAGACTCCCTATCCCCAGAGCAGAAAGAGTACATTCATATTTTACAATCATTGGGAAAGGTGGCTGGCACTATCTTCACTCAGAAAGCACTCCCTGAATTATGATTACCCAGCAACACTGCCTCAGATATCAGATCACAAGGAACTTATGATCTTGATATTTGGGAGCGAGTAGGGAAAACATTAAAATCTCAGCATTCCGAGGTGGCTAATGTCCTCCCCTGAGGTAATCCTTACTTGGTCCATTGTCCATACTGCCCTTCTCCCATTGAGTTCAGACGATGCATATAAAGATATAGAATTACCCAAAAAAGAGGAAAACCCTAGGCTTTTTTATAGTCAGCCTGTGCCTTCACTGCCTTTACAGCCAGAAGATACCCACCCTCTCTCCAAAGGGTGGGACGATATCGAGCCTCAAGAAACCTCACCGACTGGTTCTGATAAAGTCCTCACCCCAATGCAAAAGTGCATTAAGAAGCCCAGAAGGCCGTTGAATTCCAGGTGTTTCCCGTTGTCGGGCAAAACGGGCAATACGTCCGTGAAGGCCTGCTCTTTCAAATAGTAAAGGAATTGCAGAAATCAGTTCAGCTGTATGGCTCCACAGCCCTTTTACGATCTGCATTTTAGAAACTATTTGTGGCACTATTCCATGTGTGCCTAGGACTGGGGCTCTCTTATAAAAATCATTTTGACTCCAGCCCAGTATGCTGTCTATGCCCAAGAGTTTCATGACGCTTGTGTAACTCGTGCTATGCAAAACTTTGACGCTGCTATTCCAGCGTCTTTTGAACAGCTGTCCAGTACAGGACAATGTTCCCAACTAAGGCAACAAGCTCAGCTTCCAATCATTGTCAGCAAAACAATGCACTAAAATAGTATGACTTATTTTACACAGGCCGTCTCTTTTAAAGGGGACTCTCTCTCTCTCACTGTTACTCCCAATATACTCTGGCTACTCTAACTACACGTGGGGGTTTCTCCCTCATTCATTTCCTTGGTCAATGACTACGATAATTAGAGCCAACTGTCTCTGGTTAGTCTACCTCAGGATGGAGGTTTTAAGGAATATTCCCAAGCAGCTGTCAAAACTCCTTTTGTCTTGGGGAACTTCTCTGTCTTCTCTGGCCTGACATAAGACTGCCTAATTCCACAAGTGGAAAACAAAACAACAAAAATCTGTACCTGCTCATCTATCTGAGCTAACAGGCTTTAGGACCATGAGAACTCTTTCTCTGCCCTCTATGCCTTTATCTGCCTTCAGGCCAACTGTGGGCACCTCACCCTTTAGGCCTTCCCTTCCCACTCCTCAGGGTCCTGCACCAACTGGGATACAACCTGCATATCTGGCTCTTCAATGCCTCAGGCAGCATCAACTCTTCCTCCTAAGAGCAAAAAATACCCCCTTAGACTAGGGCCACCCACTTCAGAATTCCTCACTGGTTCCACAGGAAAAAATTGACAATGGTAAACTTTTAAGAGGACACAGATAAAATGTAATTAAGATAGACATGTCTTTTAAATTATCAAAATTAAATAATAAAACTTTATTCTACTAAGGTTCACTGAAGGTCAAATAAGTTCATTTTATCTCTTTTCCAATTTGTCAGCCAAAGGATGACTTAAAGTAATGGTTAACTTTGTCTCATAGTTTTCATGGGTAATTGTTAAAATAGCTTTCAGGGTCTTTGGTAACCTGAAACTTTAACATTTTGCTTAAATGATAAATTGAATCTTTTGAACATTTAGGCCTCTTCCAAATCAAATGGAATGGTAAAGCATTGCTTACTAACCGTAGGTTTGTGCTTCTGGTTTCTATGACAAAAATACTGAGGACATTTAAATCTATTAAAAAGCATGCTTTATGCTTAATGGATCCATAAGTCTGCCACCTAAAAAATTTCTGATGTAACAGATGGTTTACAATGGGTTACTACTTTGTTTTCAATGGAGACTAAGGTTTCTAAGAGTTAAAATTCTGCTAAATATAATTAAGGCTAATGGAAATAAGGAAAGTAACTCCATATATAAAAAAAGTAAGAGATACGTAAGAAAGATATAAAAAATGAGCATACATTTTTGTTAAAGGTAATAAATAAAATTTTAACAAAAAGGGTAAAATGACAGGACCACATGCCCTTTTTAAGTTGTTTTACTTAAGCCTTGGTTGGAATTACCCATTCCTTATAATCCACAAGGCCAAGAAATTGTAAAAGGAGCACATAGTATGCTCAAAAACGTGTTAAAAAAACAAAAAAGCAGGGCGCCTGGGTGGCGCAGTCGGTTGAGCGTCCGACTTCAGCCAGGTCACGATCTCCCGGTCCGTGAGTTCGAGCCCCGCGTCGGGCTCTGGGCTGATGGCTCAGAGCCTGGAGCCTGTTTCCGATTCTGTGTCTCCCTCTCTCTCTGCCCCTCCCCCGTTCATGCTCTGTCTCTCTCTGTCCCAAAAATAAATAAACGTTGAAAAAAAAAAAATTAAAACAACAACAACAACAACAACAACAAAAAACAAAAAAGGGAGAGATACCCATGGCTATCTACATTACAACCTCAGCTCCTTCTTGATCATGCTATGATTACTCTTAACTTTTTAAATCTTAATCCTCAAAGACTAACAGCA